GAGATGTGGTGGCGACGTATTTCCGTCATGTCATGCTATCGCATAGGTGGGAAGGGAAGGAGCTGCTACTGGACGACATCCAAGACAAGAACGTGTTCGAGTTGAAGCCCGCTGAGGGTATCGCAAAGTTGCAGTCATTCTGCAAAACAGTTCGTGATGCAGGGTATCGCTGGGCATGGATTGATACATGCTGCGTCAACCAAAGCAACAATGTCGAGCTTCAAGAATCGGTCAACTCCATGTTTTCCTGGTATCACCATTCAGCGCTCACAATCATCTACCTGTCAGATGTTCCGCCTTCATCAAAGTCTGGCGCACTAGCGAGGAGCGCCTGGAACACGCGAGGATGGACGGTTCAAGAATTCTTGGCCCCCAAAATCGTCCTCTTTTATCAGAAAGATTGGTCTTTATACCTCGGTGATTGCTCTCACAACCACAAGGAATCTTCCATGATCATGCAGGAGATGAGAGAAGCGACAGGCATAGATTCACGAGCCCTGGTCACCTTCCGTCCGGGGATGAGAGGAGCCCGGGAGAAACTTCAATGGGCATCTACGCGTGTTACCACGCGGCAGGAAGATATTGCATACTCATTATTTGGCATCTTCGGCGTCAACCTACCTGTAATATATGGAGAGAAGAAGCAGAATGCGCTTGGCCGATTGGTGCAGGAGATCGTAGCTCGTTCGGGTGACATTACCGCCCTGAATTGGGTGGGACAATCATCCGAGTTCAATAGCTGTCTACCTGCAGACATTACTTCATACAGAGCACCGCCGTGCCCGCTGCCATCTCTTCAGATCTCGGGCTCCTTACTCCGACATAACATACCTGTTGATTCGGCTTTGAAACTTTACATCTTGCTTGACAACCTGAACGCTCCTCGTTTCGCGAATTGCAGATTGCATCTGCCATGCATCGTATTTCGTGTCACAGCAGTCCGACGCCAGGAGATAGATTCCAGCTATGAAGTCAAGGCGGACAGGCTTCAAGACCTGCAGATCACCACGGAGGACAAACTGGTTCAGTTCTCGTCACTACAGCCCATCATGCAGACTTTCTTGCTTGTTCGTCCGTGGAATCGACTTCTCGAGCTCCCTGACTTTGCGGACCTGTCTGGCTCGGCAGAGCTTGCAGACAACACGGAGAGCGATGGGGATTATTGGTCTGCACCCTCATCTCCATTACAGGATTCCCAGGAGTTGGTTGATTTGGAATTGAGTGGTCGAGCGTTGCGATTGGCTGTTCGCCTTGGACAACCTTTTAGCGCATTTTTGCTGGCGCAGCAGCGCGGTGGAGAATACAAAAGAATCGCGTCAGATAACGATATTATTGCACAAGTCAGAGACAATTCCTCTATTCCGGACATGATGGACGTTAGGACGCTAGAGATATTGTAGTGGTATGCATTTGTTGTAAGCAGAGATCTTTGGGGAGTTTTTCCTTAGTACTGTGACAGGTGCTACTTTGTACTAGGGGTATGATAGCTTGGCCCTACCACTACAGGAAAGTAGTAGTCTTCTAGTGCACCTCCTTAGCTGCATACTGATCACCAAGTGACCACGATTGTGAATACCTTTACTTGGGATTTGGCGCCTAGGCTGAGGCAGGCCTGCACTAGAACTGTCAGATAGTGACATGCAAAAACAATAAGTCAATACCCTCGCTTTTGTTTGCTTAATGATCAAGTTTTACGAGTACTTACTATATGTAGTGCCTGAGTGACGTAGTCAGCCAATGAAAATCATTCATCAGCGCTTAGTGTTTATAGTCCTCGAAGTCGCCTCGAACTTCGAACCTCAAAAACCTAGATTCTCGCAAGATAAGCACATCGAAATGATGCCAGCAGTGTCTGTATTTTGCATTTAGGAATCCTGCTCCACACCGATTATCGCAGCTCGGTCACGTCGTGATTCTCTAAACGAGCACCCACAGTACATCTTGATTCTCAGTACTTGCATCTAGATCCTGATTTGCGATCGAGGGTTCCTGCAGCTGTATGTACCTTGTTTGATGTTTACTCAAAATTTTCTTTTGATTGTGTATTAGAAACAGGAAGACAATCATGATGCCTCCGTGGGTGGTAATTCATTACGACAAGTTGACGACACTCATATGTCGGCTCCGAGTGCAAGGACAGTGATATCATAGTACTCTGAGAGCCATCGTTATCAATGCATCATGGAGAGCATTACTCTGTAAGAGAACTTTAGAAACGTAATATGTGTCGTTAACTTGCCCTTTAACGCTGTCAAGCTATTTTAACGCATCCATGGGAAATATGAACTTGTGGGACGATATCTAGTTGACCTGATCACAGCTTTTCTTCCACAGCCAGCGAGTGAAAAACTGACATGTTCAGCTCACGTCCTCCTTACTCAATCTCAGGCGGAAGCGGGACCATTTCACTGCTTCCATTACTTCTGGCAGCCAACGCCGCGCGGCGCGAATATCACTGCTGTCTAGTAACTTGAAAAGACTCAGACTATCCAACCCTGCTTCCCTGCCATCAGATTCATTTCCGCAGGGTCTGTCGTGAAGTGCGTGTTCGAAGCGCTCTACAGCAGTCTCTTCTGGCATGCCGTTTGGCCGTTCAGCTCAGTGTGGCAGTAGTACATTGTCACGTGAAACACGGCATTCGACGTAACGATCGTTGAATGAAATACAATGCCGAAGGTACCGGAGGCTTTGAACGATCTATCAGCTATAGAGCAGTAGTCCCGCACTAGCTCTTCGCCAATTTGTAATGGTGAGCACGTTCACCTCGTGTCTAATATTAGCCGTGGCTTGTCTCTTATTGTAGCACTCCGCCGAAAACACATTCGTCGGCGTCTTCATCGATGCTCTTGAGACATATCACTGGGAAAGTGGCCTTCATAAAAGGCAACGGACCTCCGATTGCGAACAATCAGCGTCGTCTAAGAGGGGGAGAATTTAGGGACTGTCGATCAGTACTATAGATTCAAGTAAGCGGGCAGCAGAACACAAATATTTATTGTTATAGCTAATCATCGCCCGCAGACAGGGAGCTTCATACGAGAGAAGTCATAATGTTTGAGCGCATACAGTCGAACAGCCCAAAGACGGCCGTCGCCAGGAACCCGGCCCTATGCTCTCCCATCAGCTTTGATATCACTGCACAGCAAATCACTGCATTAAATATTTATTCGCATTTCTGGAGTCATCAATGCCGTGCTGTGAAACGTACCTCCACCCGCCTGCCATTCCCACCAGCTCCATCTAACACTGATTTTGTAACTCGCGGACCACGAGCCGAAACGCCACGAGAGTAGAGTGATTCCGTCATAGGTTGTCCGCGGTCGGAAGAATCTGGGGTGTCATGGGGCGATAAGGCTGATCGTACAGGGATCCGTGTATATGAAACTTACCTCCACCCTCTGACTGGGCGTTTTCGGGAAACTCTGTGAAGAGGCGGCGGATCGCTTGAATGGATCTTTCAAGGTCCTCGAGATATTGCTGCAATCGTCTCCTGAAGTCTCGACGAGGGTTCTGCCTTGGCTCGGAAGACGACGAGTTCGGTGTCCTTGATTAGGGTGAGTTCACGTATATTTGTCCATGATTCGTGAGCGACTGACCTATTCATCTGAAGGGGACAAGGTAGATTAATCTTGGTCATTTACGCTACTAATGTGGCTACTTATATACTCTGGTATAACATTGAGCCCGTTCACTTCCAGCATCTGTGTGCGCAGCGCACGGATTGTCATGTGTTAGCTGCAAGACGAAAGGAGCTTTCTTTTGGGTCTGTACCTCAGCTTCTTAGACCCCATTCATTCAAAATTTCATGACCCTTTTCAATAGGGAACATCACGTTTGGTTTTAAATTCAGTGTCATCGGCATTCTCCAACGGAGCGATCGTCCAGGAACCCCGATCTATCTGTGACTTATAACAATGTCATGGATGTTTTTTTGGAGAAGCCGGGGGGATCGGGGGATGAGAGAGACATGTGCGAGTCTGTATGTAGATTACTTCAATACCTTCGGTCGGTGATAGGGAAATAGTACTTCTTTCTGAGAACCTGACAAGACCGTGTCTAATTTGCCCCATACAACGGTGGACGCATGATAGGTAGGATTGTGTGGAAATGAGTGAGCTTGCTTGCAGTGAAGGGAACTTACAGGCACATTAATTAACTGAAAACCTAAGGAACAATTGCCCACAACTTTGAAAATTCCATTCAGACGGATGATCTCAAGATTCGTCTCCCCGTTCAAGAATGCCAAGATGCTGAACTTAAAATCAAATGCGATGTCACGCCGGGTCTCGACTTATTGTTTCTGCATATCACTCGCGGCGTCACCACTCGCGTCAGTCGCGTGCATCCCAAAAAAGCATGACGCACGTTCTGGATATCTAACCAATACATCTAAGCAATTCTACCTTCATTGTCCAAATTCTGTGTACTACGAACTTGCCATGAACAACAACAATGATACTCATCCTAGTAATATGTAGCACTGCAATCGCACAGTCCAGGGAGGTCCAGGGACCACGTTTCTATCCTTGATTCATAGCAATGTCATGGATGTTTTTTTGGAGAACCCGGGGGGATCGGGGGGATGAGAGAGACATGTGCGAGTCTGTGAGTAGATTACTTCAACACCTTCGCTCGGTGATAGGGAACTAGTACTTTTTGCTGAGAACCTGACGAGACCATGTCTAATTTGCCCCATATAACGGCGGCCGCATGACAGGTTGGATTGTGTGGAAATGAGCTCGCTCGCTTGCAGTGAAGGGAACATACAGACACGTTAATTAGCTGACAACCTAAGGAACAATTGCCGACGACTTTGCAAATTCCATTTGGGCAGACGATCGCGAGATTCGTCTCGCCGTTGGAGAATGCCGATGACGCTGAACTTTAAACCAAATGCTATGTCTCCACGTTGAATAGGGTCATGAAATTTTGAATAAATGGGGTCCAAGAAGCTGAGGTACAGACCCAAAAGAAAGCTCCTTTTGTCTTGCAGCTAACACATGACAATCCGTGCGCTGCGCACACAGATGCTGGAAGTGAACGGGCTCAATGTTATACCAGAGTATATAAGTGGCCACATTAGTAGCGTAAATGACCAAGATTCTACCTTGTCCCCTTCAGATGAATAGGTCAGTCGCTCACGAATCATGGACAAATATACGTGAACTCAGCCCTAATCAAGGACACCGAACTCGTCGTCTTCTGAGCCAAGGCAGAACCCTCGTCGAGACTTCAGGAGACGATTGCAGCAATATCTCGAGGACCTTGAAAGATCCATTCAAGCGATCCGCCGCCTCTTCACAGAGTTTCCCGAAAACGCCCAGTCAGAGGGTGGAGGTAAGTTTCATATACACGGATCCCTGTACGATCAGCCTTATCGCCCCTTGACACCCCAGATTCTTCCGACCGCGGACAACCTATGACGGAATCACTCTACTCTCATGGCGTTCCGGCTCGTGGTCCACGAGTTATGAAATCGCTGTTAGACGGAGCTGGCGGGAATGGCAGGCCGATGGAGGTACGTTTCACAGCACAGCATTTATCACTCCAGAAATGCGAATAAATATTTGATGCAGTGATCAAGTTGCTGTGCGGTGATATCAAAGCTGATGGGAGAGCATGGGCCGGGTTCCTGGTGACGGCCGTCTTTGGGCTGTTCGACTGTATGCGCTCAAACATTATGACTTCTTTCGTATGAAGCTCCCTGTCTGCGGTCGATAATTAGTTGTAACAACAAATATTTGTGTTCTGCTGCCCGCTTACTTGAATCTATTGTACTGATCGACAGTCCCTAAATTCTCCCCCTCTTAGACGACGCTCATTGTTCGCCATCGGAGGTCCGTCGCCTTTTATGAAGACCACTTTCCCAGTGGTATGTTTCAAGAACATCGATGAAGACGCTGACGGATGTGTTTTCGGCGGAGTGCTAAAGCAGGAGGCAAGCCATGGCTAATATTAGACACGAGGTGAACGTGCTCACCATTACGAATTGGTGAAGAGTTAGTGCGGGACTACTGCTCTATAGCTGACAGATCGTTCAAAGCCTTCGGTAACTTTGGCGTTGTATTTCATTCAACGATTGTTACGCCGAATGCTGTGTTTGACTACGGCTACTGCCACCGAACAGCATGCCAGAGACTGCCGTATAGCACTTCAAACACGTTTACGCATGCCAACAGACTCTGCGGAGAAAAGTCTGAGGGCAGGAAAGCTGGATTAGAGAGTCTGAATTGTTTGAAGTTACTGGACAGCAGTGACGTTCGCGGCGGGGAAAGTGCCAGAAGCGATGAAAATACCTTGACAGTGAAATGATCCCGCTTCCAACTGAGATTGGGTGAGGGGGACATGGATGAACTGAACATGTATTCTCACTCACTGGCTGTTTTGGAAGAGAAGGCGTGATCAGGTCAACCAGATATCGTCCCACAACTTGAATTTCATATTCCCATGGATGCGCTAAAATAGCTTGTCAGCGTTGATGGGCAATGGCACAGATTATGTTTCTCAAGTTCTCTTACAGAGTCATGCTCTCATTGATGCATCGATGAGTACTGAGATTGACAACGATGGCTGAGTACTATCGTTGCCCTTGCACTCGGAGCCGCCATGGGCGTCGTCAATTTGTTGTAATGAATTACCACCCACGGCGTAATGATTGTCTTCCTGTTTCTAGTAGTACATAGGGTACCGCACGGGTAACACCGAGGGTCGGAAAGTTGACACCGCACCCGCACCCGCCAACACCGTACCCTTCACGGGTACGGGTACACACCGACCCGTCAATGTCGCGGTTTATGGAAAACACCGCGGTGTCTCTGAACACCGCGGGTACATTA